GCTGCTACCTTCATATCTATACCTATATTTATATTTATCTTGTGTAATACCATTTTAGTAGTCTATATAATTTTACCAGCGCTCGCATTATCATTATTTTTAAACAATGTAACTATTCTACATTGCAGCTCAAACTTCATCTCCTACAGTGGCTTAGTGGTTAGAACTTACAGCACTTGGGTCATGGGTTCTAATCCCAGTCATGGCTGCACCTGTCTGCATCCCAGTTTGCATGCTTTCTCTGCATGGGTGTGTTTCTGCCAACACTCCAAAGACATGCTGTTAGGCTAATTGGGCCTAGTAGATGTCTGAGTTTCTGGTCTTAGATTGTAAGCTGCTTGACATTTGTGAATGCCCAAAATATGGAGATGAATTTCCAGGGTTCTGTCAGTGCCAGGAATATTGATCAATCAATTAAGATTTTGGCTACTGACTAGAAAGTGGAAAGGGGTGAATCTTACCTGTGTCCTGTTCTTCTGGCAAGTTTGAAACTTTCAATTTTCCTTCTGTTTATATTTCATTACAACTTTATCTTCTCTAAGGCTACGTTCACACTTGCTTTGTCAGCAGGCGTCAGACAGGCATTTGGGAAGCGTTTTTTATGCTTCTCAAACGCCTATGAAAATTCTGCACATAGCAGCACACAGTGTTGTTCACACCAAAGCGTTAGCATTGCGTCACGGCAAAACTGGTGCCTCATGTCGAGCAGGAGAAGTTGAAGCCTCCCAATCAAGTCTATAGTGCTGCTCTTCAAATGCTTGGCAGACGTTTGCGGTGTGGTTGCGAGGCGTTTTCGGAGTGTTAATACCATTTAACTTCATTACAGGCATTTGTGGTGCAGTTTTAATGCTTGGCAAATGCTTATCACATACCTCAAAACCGCACATAGGGTGTTTGAGGAGCGTTAAAAATGCTTCCCAAACACCTGTCAAATGCTATAGGGCCGTTTGGCAAGAGTTAGAAACAAAGTCAAGTGTGAACGAGCCCTTAAACCTCTCTCCTTATACAACTTGACCCCCTCCCCCACCCACCCTGTCATCACCTGTTCCATCTGCAAATCTATGTATCACCACCCCACTCTTTTTATTTAACTATTTACTGATCAAGTTAATGTGTCTCATTTCTTATCACCTACAGCTCAGATCTCACATTATTATATGATTCCTGATTGTATCTCACCACTAGTCTGATTTAAATTCACAATTCCTGGTCAGTCCCATTCCCTTACCTATAATAACCTCTAGGGCCAGTTCACACTACATGTGTTTCAGTTGCTTTTTTTGCATCCAAAACGCACAGAAAAAAGGTTATTTGGTTGTCAATGTCATAGTTCACATCAGCACTTGCAGTTCCAGTGCGTTGCAGGTGCTGCCAAAAAAGTCGAAACAGGCTGCATTGTTTATGCATAGAACGGTACTGGAATGCGGTAAAACGCCCTGGAATGCACTAAAATGCACATGTCCCTATTAAATTTAAGAAAAAGAGAGGGGAAAAAAAATTAACTGGAATGCATAAAAAAAGCATCCAAAATGCAGTGGATCACATCAAAAACGCATCCAAAATGCTCTGGAAGACGTTAAACATGCATCAAAAAAGTGCATGCAGAAACGCATCTGGAACACATCGAGACTGGGTTTCTATAGTGTGAACTGGCCCTTAGGACTTGTTCACATTTGTGGTGCAGAAACGCATGCAAGAGCATGTTTTTTCCAGCACAGCACAGCAAAGAAATGCAATGCCCTCTGCAGAAGTGTGCAGGTACCATGATGAAAACTCAATTGCACCTCCACACGTCTAGTAAACACAGACGCATTCACAGCCACCAAAATGCATGGCACCACACTACTGTGCGGTTAGGTGCAACACACTTTTAAAATAATACGCCTGCAGTATTTTTGCATGTTCCCACATGTTAGGCAGCCCATTGAAATTAATGAGACATGTGAATGAACCCCAAGACCTCAATTACACACACAGCTTTATTTATGAACTGTTTTAGCATTTAGATTTCACAGGAATATTGTTGGGATTGTGTCCATTAATAATGTTTTTAGTGTATTTTTACCATAAATATAATTTGGATATTTTCTCTGGAGGTGGGAGGCTGTCAGGTATGCTGTATGGGGGCCCCATGATATCTAACAGTGGCCCTGGGTGTATGCTTGTGTCTGTGCCACCCGTATAGTTAGTAACAACAATAACTTCTTCTATGGAATACCTTGAATCTCTGCTGTGTACCTCAATGGATCTAGGAATTGGACATGTTTTCAACTGAAAATACAACAATTATTAGTAATGTTTCCCCGACAAATGAGGATCAGCTCCTTGGTGGAGAACAGCGATCTCGCCATGTCCAGATGTGGTCTGGATTTCCACAAAAGAACAATTCACAAAGCTAAAAAATAGACATGCAAATTACCACTAAACTCTCTTAACTAGTCTCATCCACTAACACTCCCCACTATCACTTCTGGGTGTGTGTAAACGTCCTTCCACAAACGTCATGACGTATTTCCGGTATGACAGCTGCTCTAGCGCCTCCTCCAACAGCCATCTTGGTGTTTATTTGTGCACCATAGCAATTTTCCATGCGGCTCCATTGTGTATATGACATACACAAATATATGTTTGCAGTTCTATTGTAGATTTGGCATTAGTGAATGTATGATTGCATCTCTACTGTGTATATGACATTGGTGAATGTATGTTTGCAGCTCTACTGTGTATATGACATTGGTGAATGTATGTTTGCGGCTCTGCTGTGTATATGACATTCGCAAATGTATGTTTGCGGTTCTATTGTGGATTTGGCATTGGTGAATGTATGTTTGCAGCTCCACTGTGTATATGACATTGGTGAATGTATGTTTGCACTCTACTGTGTATATGACATTGGTTAATATATATTTGCGGGTAAAGGCCCAAAGCCAATATAAATTGGGGGCCGAATGTATTACTGGTAAGAGGATTGTAGAAAAAGAATAGCTAGCTGCACATTGAAAATGACCTATTCATTGGTACATAACATGGTCTTGTGGTGCAATAGGGGGCTTTTGGTTTGTTAGTTTGGACATACTTGCATATTTGCACTCTAACAAGGTTAGATTTGGGCATATTATATAGCTAGCAAAAATAAGTGTTAGAGGTGCTAGTACATTCAACTAGAACATGAAATATTCCCCCCAAAAATACATAGTCCAAATGTTTATTGATCACATACACATTACACATTTATTTGGACAGCAACAACAAGTAGATACATTCAATTTCTTGATGAAAAAAAAAAAGCAGGATTGGTGTTGCTAAAATAGAACTGTCCTGCTCATAAGAGCTTACTTACAATCTAAAAGATTATACTTCTAATGAACTGTGCTTTCACAGGTTACAGCAGGAAACAAACTGGTAATATGAATCATGTAGTAGGCTTATCTATCTACAAAACAGGCTGCAGATCAAAACACCAATATAAAAATACATACGTGCCAAAATAAAACACCTCCCACCTGCCCAAAATACAGTGAGTGTGGCCTGGGGCAATTCACCACAATATCTCTTCTCCCCAAACCAGACTTTCAGAACATAACCTGGCCTCTTCCAAGACAAAAATCACCCACTACTGCAACTCTTTATATATCATAGGCCACACCCAGCACTGTCATTCATTTGGTCAAAGAAAGTGTTTGCACCTGATTAATTCTCTTCCCACCTGTGTTAACCCTTGGTATACAGGCCAAACAAATCAGAAAGAAAGCCACAGTGAAGTGTACCTTTGCAGCATACAACAGAACATTGAACAGGGATGTGCAAGGGAACCCATGGCAATATTTATTGGCACTATGGGCACAATTCACTCCAGATTATCGCACAAGTTAAGGCAGTCACATGACCACATCTCGCATGCAATTCTGAAAATGTCAATTCACCTTTGCTAGTATGCGGGATTTCCCATAAATCGGAAAACACTCAGGAAATCAAACATAAAAAGGCCTTACATCCCGGTCACATCAAATCCGATTTAGAAATTGTGCAACGTACAGTGAAAATGCCGATTTCCTTGCGATTTGCAAGACATCTGACACAGATATCTATGCAAATCGCCACAAAAGTAGTACATGTACTACTTTAGAAATCAGTGTCGGAAACGCACCCATGTGATTGCTCTAATAGCAGACAGTAGGGTGCGACTTGGCATACGATTTGCAAGTCGCATGTCATGCAAATCACATGCCAAGTCGCACTCAATATGACCGCTATTAGAGCGTTCATATTGGTGTGGTTCAAACTTGGTCGGAGCCGCAACAATTTCTAAAGTAATGAATACACTACTTTTCATGTGATTTGCAGAGAGATCTGTGTAATATGTCTTGCAAATCGCACTTTAACCACTAGCCTACAAGTCACTTATACCCCCTTCCTGCCCAGGCAAATTTCCAGCTTTCAGCGCTGTTGCACTTTGAATGACAATTTGGGTGGTCATGCAACACTGTACTCATATGACATTTTTATCATTTTTTTTGTGACAGAGCTTTATTTTGGTGGTAGTTAATCACCTCTGGGTTTTTTATTTTTTCTTAAACCAAAAACCACTGAAATTTTTGAAGAAAAAAAAATTTTCTTAGTTTTTGTTATAAAATTTTGTAAATAAGTGATTTTTCTCCTTCACTGATGAGGCTGCACTGATGGGCACTAATAGGCTGCACTAATGGACACTGATAGGTGGAACTAATGGGCACTGATGAGGAGGCACTGGTAGGTGGCACTGATGGGCATTGACAGGCATCACTGATGGGCACTGAAAGGCAGCACTCATATATGGCACTGATAGGCGGCACTGATAGGTGGCACCGACTGGCACTGTTAGGCGGCACTGACTGGCACTGTTAGGCAGCACTGACGGGCACTGATAGGCGGCACTGACTGGCACTGATAGGTGGCACTGTCAGCACTGATAGGTGGCATTGATAGGTGGCACTGACTGGCACTGATAGGTGGCATTGACTGGCACTGATAGGTGGCACTGTCAGCACTGATAGGTGGCATTGATAGGTGGCAGTGACTGGCACTGATGGGTGACACTGAAAGGCAGCTCAGATGGGCACTGATATGTGGCATTGATGTGGCACTGATGGGCACTGGCAGGTGGCATGGATGAGCACTGAGAGCTGGCACTGATGGACACTGACAGGTGGCGCTGCTGGGGCTACACAGATCATCAGGGCACACTGATCATCAGTGCTCTGATGATCTGTGTACATGTCCCCTCCGAAGAATGCCGATTACCAGCTCTCCTCTCCTCACGAGCTGTCAGCGTGACAGCTCATGGGGAGAGAAATGTTGATAACTAGCATTTCCCTGTTTACATGTGATCAGCTGTGATTGGACACAGCTGATCACATGACCGAGCCGACATCTTCGGCTCTTTCTGTGGATTGGTGATCCGCTGTGTCTGAGGGACACAGCGCACCACCGATCGCCGTGCTCCGGGATCCGCGCATGCGCAGTTAGAATGGGAAGGTGTCATATGATGTCCTCCCAGAACGAGAGAACCACCTTGCGTCCATTATTTTACTATGTGGCTGGTGGGAGGTGGTTAAATCAGCATGTCTCCCGACTTTGAAATCATGTGACTTCACTGTAAGTCACATGATGTGACCGTAGTTTAAGTCGTACCACTTCAAAATCCGCTTTGATGTGACCTGGGTGGCCCCCAGTCACATTGGGTGCAATTTGGCATGCAATTTGCATGCTAGGCGACTTGCAAATCGTAGGCCAAGTCGCACCCTATTGTCCACTATAGGCTCAATTTACATCCAATCTGGTTTTGAAATTGTGCAACTTCACTGTAAATTGCCCAATTTCCAAATCTGATTAGATGTGATTGTGGTGTTAGCCCCTGGTCACATTGGGTGCAATTTGGCATGTGATTTGCAAGTCACAGGGCAGGCAAATCGCATGCCAAGTTGCATCCTGGGTGCACAATTTCAGGTGCGATTTGGGAATTGAAATTGTACCTGATATAGGATCTAATGAATGTGGATGTGAGTGTCTAAACGTAAGCGATTTGCTGCAGCACAATTTCAAAAGTAGTTCTTGTCTAACTTTTTCTGCATTCTGTAGCGATTTCACATATAGACTACAATAGAAATCACAATGCAAAACACAATTGAAAATGCAATAACTCATTGGTAAATCTACAGAAAACACGGTGAAATTGCAATTTTAAATTGCATCTAGTGTGAACCAAGCAGGCAATTCAACAAAGGAAATAAATCTTTGAAGGCATCTGCATGCTCGGATAAAGGTCTGTTATGGATGTGGGGGGGGGACTCCATGCCATTATTTTATTAATTTTTTTTAAAATCCTTTTTTTTCTCTCTCTCTCTATCTCAGCTCTTGGTTTGACAAACCTTCCCAAAAGGGGGCGGAGTGCAAACCAGCATTAGTCATTAGTCCAGGCCCTTATCTCGTCCCATCGTTTGACATTCACATAAGGTGGCATCTTTAAAGATGTTAGAATAGACAAGGCCTCATTCTAATTCACATTCTAGGGATCATTTAGACAGAAAGCAAAGCTGCTGCCACCAGCACATGTATGTTAGGGTAGTCACCCAGGGAGATCATGCAAATTCATTGCCGGGGTTGGGATTCAAACCGACAACCCTAGCGCTGTGAGGCAGCAGTGCTAACCACTAATCCACGGAGCTGTTGATCACTAATCCCACCTGTATTTCTGTGGTGTGAATCAACCCTAAGTCCCTGGGCAAGGTCAGTGTAACTAGCCAGATATCTCAAATGTGACACAAATGTTGTACTATGTTGCCGATTCAGATGTTTGTTGGTTCTATGTATCCCAATACAAAGGATTGCAATACTAATACAGGCGTACCTCAGTTTCCCAATGCCTCAGTTAACGTAATTTTCTGTTTATGAATGAAAATCCATTGAAAATAATGCCTCAGTTTACACAATTGTTAATATTTTTTTTTGCAATACAAAGTGTATGTTGGTGCTGATTTTTAAATGCAAATGCCAGCCTTTTTTTTCTTCACTATAGTTCACAAACTTAGATGTCACTTTCCCCGAAGATACAGAAAACTTTGTATCTTTTAATAAACAAAAGTATCCCGCCCCCCCCTACGTGAATGAGTATGGGGTACATGGTACCGCTACTAATTCACAAAAAAAAAACAGAGTAGTGTAAAAAAACACAGTACACGGTCTTTGACAAGTCCTTTAATAACAGAAAAATCTCAAAGAATGTCCCCTGAAGTAGATCCACTGTCAATCACGGTGCAAGGAGCCCACGACCCGAAAAAATAAAAAGGTTCCGCTCCCGACGATGGCTGCTTAACCTTCTGCTGCTGTGAGCTTGGGTGACAGTTCTTAAATATGTAAGGGGTGGGGCCACCTGGGGACATTACACATGTGACCTGGGGCGGGGTCACTCTGATGATGTCCCCGGGGGGCCCCGCCCCTTACATATTTAAGAGCTGTCGTCCAAGCTCACACCAGCAGAAGGCGGAGCAGCCGTCGTCGGAAGCGGAACCTTTTTTTTTTTTTTTTTCTGGTTGCCGGTGCCTTACACCGTGATTGATGTTGGCTCTACTTTGGGGGACATTCTTTGAGATTTTTCTGTTAAAGGACTTGTCAAAGACCGTGTCCTGTGTTTTTTTACACTACACTTTGTTTTTTTTTGTGAATTAGTAGCGGTACCATGTACCCCATACTCATTCATGTAGGGTGGGCCAGTATCTTCCAGATTCTGATAAGCCCCCTGCCTGCAGACTCCCACAACTACTGGCCAGGGTTGTGGGGAAGATGCCCCCCTGCCCCAAAGCACCCCCCCATGTTGAGGGCATGTGGCCTGGTATGGTTCAGGAGGGGGGGGCGCTTGCTCGTCCCCCCCCTTTCCTGACCTGCCAGACTGCATGTCCGGGACAAGGGCATCTTCCCCACAACCCTGGCCGGTGGTTGTGGGGATCTGCGGGCGGGGGGCTTATCAGAATCTGGAAGCCCCCTTTAACAAGGGGGCCCCCAGATCCCGGCCCCCCCTACGTGAATGAGTATGGGGTACATGGCACCGCTACTCATTCACAAAAAAAACAAAGTGTAGTGTAAAAAAACACAGGACACGGTCTTTGACAAGTCCTTTAATAAAAGAAAATCTCAAAGAATGTCCCCTGAAGTAGATCCAGCGTCAATCATGAAGCCCGCCACCGGCTACCCGAAAAAAGAAGTAAAAAAAAAAAAAGGTTCAGTGTCCAATGCTGGCTGCCAGCCTTCTGCTGTGAGCCTGGGTGACAGCTCTTAAGTACAGTACGCAAGGGGTGGGGCCACCTGGGACATCATGCATGTGACCCCACTCCATGTGACATCAATGATTTCACACGAGGCGGGGTCACTCAGATGATGTCCCCGAGTGGCCCCGCCCCTCGCATATTTAAGAGCTGTCATCCAGGCTCACAGCAGAAGGCCGGCAGCCAGCGTCGGACGCAGAACCTTTTTTTTTTTTTTTTTTTTTTTTCGGGTCACCGGCAGTGGGCTTCATGATTGACATTGGATTTACTTTGGGGAACATTCTTTGAGATTTTTCTTTTATTAAAGGACTTGTCAAATACAGTGTCCTGTGTTTTTTTTACACTACACTTTTGTTTTTTTTTGTGAATGAGTAGCGGTGCCATGTACCCCATACTCATTCACGTAGGGGGGGGGTGATCTGGGGGCCCCCTTGTTAAAGGCTTCCAGATTCTGATAAGCCCCTGCCCGCAGACCCCCACAACCACCGGCCAGGGTTGTGGGGAAGAGGCCCTTGTCCCCATCAACATGGGGACAAGGTGCTTTGGGGGGGCACCCCCCATGTTGAGGGCATGTGGCCTGGTATGGTTCAGGAGGGGGGGCGCTCGCTCGTCCCCCCTCCCTTTCCTGACCTGCCGGGCTGCATGCTCAGATAAGGGTCTGGTATGGATCTTCGGGGGGACTCCACGCCCTTTTTGTTTTTTTTTAAATTTGGCATGGAGTTACCCCTTAATATCAATACCAGACCCGAAGGGCTTGGTATGGATGGGAGGGGGGACCAAAAGCCGTTTTTGTTTTTATTTTTAGATTCAGCTGTCAAAATATATATTATCTAGACCTTCCAAATATGTAAAATCATTACAGAAATAATTATAAAGGATAAGAAACAAAAACAGAATCAATAGAACAAAGGAAATCAAATTAGAATACATAAAGATATGCTTGGCTACAAATAGTGCGGTTTGTTAAACACAGTGGACACGATCGAGTGCCATCTGTCAGTGGACTCCACACAGATTTACTATTGAACAGCATCTAAAAAGAAAGCGCCCACGGCAGACGGCTAAAATGTGTTCTGCACATGCTCATTTATAAACGGCCATAGGCACTGGAAAAGCGTCTAGTTCTTCACTGTCATGACTTGCTTTAAAAAAACTATTTTTTACACATTTAAAAATTTTTTTGAAAGCAAATTTCAATGTGAACATGTCTCTGCAGTGATTTGTCATGGTGTTAGACGTGCTTCTTAGCAAGTCTGCTTTTTGAGACTGATTCCTGGATTGTGCCTGGTTAGTAAATTCGATTTTGCGTCTACTTGTTGACGCTTTCTTTAGTAAATGTCTTTGCCGTCTAAAAGTAGACAGTCGCTATTAAAAAGTAGACGTTAGCCCACGGAAATGCGCCTAGGCACATTAGTAAATCAGGGTCATTACGTCAGCGGGAGTGATTCCCCCATTCATGTCAAATTTGTGGATGAGAGAATCAAGTAATTTTTTTTTTTTTGTTTAACCCACCGTTGAACAAAACAAAATGACTAATGTATAGGTTAGTGTATAGGATGCTTTACTGAGCCTTTCCTTAAAGAAGAACTTTATTAAAACATGTACAGAGGTCAGGAGTAAGTAAAAAACAAAACATATGGAGTGTAGCAGTCAGGATGAGCATGACGTTTGGGTGTACATGTACTGACACTGTGATGTTTTGTGGCTGTGGCAGAAATTATAATCTTCGTTACATTCTGTGGGCACAGTGCCTGCTGAATGTGATCCATTTATGTGAATGAGGCTGCTCTGCAAGCACCCCACAACTGCGTGCAATGAACATGGTGGCAGTGCACTAGTGTGGGGTTCTAGAGGTTATAGCAGGTGGTGAGGAGGCAATACAGCATCTTCTCACTGCCAGCCAACTGCTCTCTGAAGAGTGATCTGAATTCAGATCACTCTTCAGAGACCAAGGCTCATGTGAACAAGCCCCTAAAGGGATGCTGGGGCTGGGCAGGAAGGGGCTAAACATAAGCAACACAAACTTTGGAGAAACCTCCATCAGTTCCATCAGAAGAAGAAGGGAGATAGAGGGGAGAGTAGAAGGAGGGAGATGGAGGCGAGAGAGAAGAAAGAGGAAGATGGAGGGGGGTGAAAAAGGAGGGAGATGAAGGAGGGAGATGGAGGGGAGAGAAGGAGGGAGATGGAGAGGAGAGAAGCAGGAGGGAGATG